ATGCAACCCGGACACCCCTTGAAATATACAGAAATGTCCCCCGCACATGTTTTCCAGAAGCATTTTTTCAATCCGAATCAGTGGAAAACACTTTCTTAGGGCAAGTTTGGTCCCACTTTGGAGCAGTGTTTCTCAAGTTTGGCACCGTTAAGACATGTGGACTTCAACTCCCAGAATTCCCCAGCCAGCCATCCTGGCTGGGGAATTCCGGGAGTTGAAGTCCACATGTCTTAACGGTGCCAAACTTGAGAAACACTGCTCCAAAGTGGGACCAAACTTGCCCTAAGAAAGTGTTTTCCACTGATTCGGATTGAAAAAATGCTTCTGGAAAACATGTGCGGGGGACATTTCTGTATATTTCAAGGGGTGTCCGGGTTGCATGTTAAATAGGGGGGCAGGGCTTCAATTATGCCCTTGCAACAGCCATCTTGACTTTTTTGACCTTGCCGACACCCCAGGTTTAGAATTAAACCGTTGCCCCTCTCCCTGGCTCTTTTTTGGGGGGTGCCCTCGGTTTGGGGATCAGAACGTCGGAATTGAAATGATGAAACTGGAAATTGTCTTTGGGGTCAGTTCGTCTTGCCTGGGTTGTGGGGAGTCCGAATCGTTAATCCAAGACAGTAAACAGCAGCTCAGTGCTACCGTTCGTGACAAAACAGACAGTGCAACATGGGTAGTGTGATTTCCCCCTCCCCTTGATTTCCCTGGAATCCGCTGGGGAAACAAAACACCCTCTGAAAATTTGCATCGACGCTTTTGTCTGTTATATGAGCGTACGCAGCTGTTTTGTTCTTGCTAGCCTCTCGGTCTGCATCTTTTCGGCGAGAGTTTTCAGCCCGCCAAAGTCGGACTAAAGAAACCCAGCCTGATGGGAGTTGTAATCCTTTGCAATTCGTTGTGCCAAGTCATGGAGCAACGGTCTTTCGGACCCTCATTCCTTCTTTCCTGCAATTTCCTGCAGGGTTTTTACTTTTTTTTTTTTTAATCAATCTTTCCCATTTCCTTGGTCTGTTCCACTTATCAGAGGACGTGATCCGGTCAGTTTCACTGGAAAGTCCCTGGACTGATTTTTTTCCTGATTCTTGAAACGGCCGTCAGCTTCCACAGCCAGGGTACCACAAGTAAACTGATCTGGCCACCAAGGTGGAAACCATCTAAGCATTGATGTTGCAGACCCCCAAATAAAAACACTTGAGAACAAGTCTTGGGGAACAGCTGTTGGGGATTAACAGACCATCATTGGAAGATGCATGGTGTGTTCTGTAAATAAAGCTGTCGTCACACCTATGGGAATGCGGAGGGCTGTGCAGATCATCCCCAAGATCTCCTTTACCCAGTTTAGACCAGTCCCAGTGCACTCGCTGGGGTGCCTCCCAAGTGGCAACTCCCCCCTTGATTCCTAAAAGCTGGCTTGATAATTCCACACTGGGGGGATATCATTCAGTTTCCCTCCTTGGTCCCCTCCATCTTCCCCCCCACCCCCCAAGCCGGGGAGAGATCAGCAACGTGGACAGCGAGGCCCGTATAATTTTTGGCCGACTCCAGGCTGGATGAAGAGCAACCCAGAAAAGATTTAATCGTGGAGAGGGGTAAAAAGGTGTAACGCTGGTTTTTTTAAAAAAAAAATCTAGAAACTCAGGAAAGAAATGCAGCTTTACGCCTTTCCTTGTTCATTTCAAGAGCTGAAAGCTTGGTTCCCACACATCCCTCACACACCCAGCTAACCAGCGGCCACCGAGCCTGGTCCCTTATTCTGGGTGATCCCTGCAAAGTACTACATTGCCCATCCCCTTGGATGGCTTCAGCGAGGCTTGTCCAGGGTCCCCCTCCATCCTCTTGCACTCAACCTCATTCAATTGACGTGGGAACCATATCTTGTTTCGGGAACCACCTTTCCTTGGGAGAACCATCTCTTATTTCCCAGCGCTGTTGGGACTAATATTATTTATTAAATTTATACGCTGCGATTCCCTTTGGGTGGTTCTCCCCGTGCTGCGTCCGCTGGAATCTTTGATCGTGGTGCTTTGAGTGGATGAAATGAATGGATTTGGCTGGAGGAACCAAGCAGGTCCGAATCAATAAATGTGATCAATCTTTTTTTTCAAAAACCTGGTGGCCAGAGGGTGAAAAACCCCAGCAGTGCCTCATGGGACCTGGCTCATCCGCAAGGTCATGGCTCCGTCCCTAACTTGGTTAATTGCCCAGAGCTCTTGTTTGGGGCCCGAGAACAGGCCTGAACGAAACCAAGCTCGATTTCCAACCAAGGTGAATCATTTTAACCAAGGTTAATAATACGACTCATCTGACTGCCTGCATGGAACGGGGCGCTCCGTTTATTTTTCTGTTGTTATATATCAGATTTCGATCCTGACTTTCCGCTCAGAGCTGAGAGCGGGGGACGCTCCTTTCAACAACCCTGCAAGGTAGGCCGGGCTAAGAGAATGATTGCTCCAAAGGCTTCAAAAGATGGACTTGAACCCATTCTTAACCATGTTTTAGGTGTCTGTACAACCACGGGGATGTCATCCTGCGCATTGCACCGTTTGTGTCATTTCTATGGCGAGGTGATCGTGCAGGGGACATTGTTGACCTCTTGAGGACATCCGGGGATATCGTGCGATTTCCCAGCTATTCTTGTGACTCCAGGGCGGCTGCATTCACATGGCCTAAGATAACCCAGACATGTTGGCTAGTTTGTGGTAGAGTTTGCTGTCTAGGTTAGATTATTGTGGGAGCCCATTTTTCATCTGCCAAGTTTCTGATTAGCTCTGATGCGATTTGTTTGGGCGCTGCATGGTTTATACATCTATATTTATATCTATAAATTTTATTCGAAGTTTTAAAAGGAAGGTAAAAACTAGCAAAAAGGAATATAAAGGAAAGAAAGAGAAGAAAGGCAAAAGAAAGAGAAAAGTGCAAAAGGAAAAGATGAAAAGACACTTCCGATTTTCTTTGCGGTACACATTACAAAATTATCTCTTATTCGACGGTTACGAAAAGAAAAGCTCTCTTTTTTCTACGATCTCGGGGTTTTTTCCTAATCACTGCATTTCTCTCCATCTTCTGCTTGAGTCCACAACTGGGCATGAGCGCCAAGAGTTTGGAGCCCCCGAACTATTAACCCAGCACTACGAAAACCAGCTGGGGAAAATCGCTCAATTTTTGGAAACTGACTTTCCCTCTACAAGAATCCAGGCCTGTCTCCAACTCTCCTGACGTTCAAACCCAGGGAACGGTCCGTCAGGCCCAGAAACGCATCAAACCCGCTGCAGACTTTGCATTTTCCTTTTCTCCCGGCCCAGGCAATCGCTGCTCCTTTGCTGGCACGAAAAGGACTTGGACCACGGCTTGGGTCTCCGGAGATCCGACCCAGATTTCCAAGCTCCCCCTTGGCTCTTCGAAGGGGCGTCCAATGGGATCAGAATCCCCGTGGCGAATCCTTGCCGGAACCGCCCACGTTCCCACTTGATCCGCACTTACGGCTCGCTGGAGACCGGGATCCCACAGGGCTCCCATTGGTCCTCCTGTGCCCATGATGTCACAAGTGGGGAGCGGAGAGGTGTTGCTAATGGAGTCGAAGGTCCCAGTAATTGGAGAGGCCAGCTCACCTGTCTCAGGTGTGCAGAAGGCAGGTGTCAGGTGTCCTGCGGCTTCAGGCAGCTGGAAAGGCAGCACACCGCGCACGTAGCTTTCCTGCACAGGTAAGAGAGCGCTGAGCGGTGGAATAAAAAAAAATCTATTTGGTTTCTGGCTCGGCCAGGTGGGAAGAGGACGTTTGGGTTGGGGCATCTTGGGGACGCAGAAGAGATGCCCCCTTGGGAAAGCGGGCAGAAAGCCAGGAAAATGTGTAGTTTTCATCAGATGGCGTGTTATCCCAGGCCAGTTTCACGCTCTAGAGCTTTGCCCGGGATTAGAGCAAAGGAAAGCGCCTTTCTGGACAGAGCGTTAGACCCATGTGCCATTCTGCGGGAGCAGAAAGGTAGACATCTGCTCCATGTTCCGGCACGGTCGATGCGCGATGTGCATTGTTGCAAAAATGGAGGCATTGCTTGGGGCTTAAGTGGCTTTCGCCAGTGGGGAGAAGCGCAAATGGGGCATAGAAGGGAGGTGTCGTTTTGCAAAGCGAAAAAGGATGACTTGAAGCAGGCACACGTTGCCCCAGTTCGGCTTGCTCTGCCAGCGGATGGTGCCGAAAGGAGTGTGTAAGCGCACTCCTCTGGCACTTATAAGTAGAGATAATAAAAATGTAACCAACCTTTTCCCCCAAACCCCCTTTCCCCCCCCCCAAATTAAAGCAGGGTTGGGCTCTGAAAAAAAGGGGTCCGGTGAACCCTGAAACATCTTTTTGCCCCGGTGAGCAACCCTAACCTGAAAAAGAAGTGAGTTGGTGAAGATGCCTCGCCCTTAAAGAAGGTTGCAGTTTTTTGGAACGCTTTGGAACTCCCTTTGCTCAGTCCCTTTCAGATAGAAGCTGCCTGGAATTGGGGGATCTCCAGGGATCCTGCCCGATTCTGTGACTTTTGAGCTGGACTCCCTGGGCAGAATAATTAAAGGAAGAACGAAGATACGAAATGGATCGATCCATCGAGGATCTCCCCTTGTTCTGTGGTTGTGGAAAAACGGAACTGGATGAAAATGTTCCTGCTTTGGAAACGCCGTTTTTAAAAAACGCACTCGGCTTTTCCTTCGACTCCGAGATTTTCGAAGAACGGAGCTCACGATCAGAAATACCTGATTTGCCTCCCTTCCAAAACCGGGTGGGGGGAGCCTTTTGAAAAAAACCTCACTTTTATTTCAGAGAAATTTGCCAGCCTGGCTCCATTGCCTCTGCTGAATTCCAAGAGGGAATTTTTCATTTGCATCTCTTTCATCTTCAAGTTAAAAAATGAGTGTGTTTTGCACCAGATGATCTCTACAGAATCAAGCGAACAGAAGGGTTAGGGACGGTAGAGATCATCTAGTCTGACCCCCTGCCCGATGCAGGAATCCACCACCCTCGCGTCCCCGACAAATGACCCACCAGCCTCTGTTTGGACCCCTCCAACACAGGAGAGCCCATCTCCTCCCAAGGCAGCCCCTGCCCCTGACGGTCAGCTCCGACCCTTAGGCAACGCTTCCAACAAAACTCTCTTCCATAGAATTTAAATGCCCCAGTTTCCACTGGTGTGATCTGAGCCATGCAGAGCAAGGAGAAACAATGGCACTCTTAATTTCTTCAACGATGAAAACACCCTCACTCATAAAATAGGAAAACACCCTTCCAGCTACTTTACTAACCAACTTTTGCCCCCAAACCCACTTCCCACGTAGGCAATCCCGCTCCCACAAATTAAAGCAAACTCAGGGGCTGCTTTGCAGATCCTGGTTAAATATTCACTAGCCCGACCATCGAAGTGATTCTGGCCACTTTAAGCCTTGATGATGTGCCGCGGGCTGGACTAGAAGACCTCGAGGGTCCCGTCCAACCCTAAAATTCTGAGTCAGTTTGGAGTGGTCACGTAGAGACATTCCCTCTTTGGAATAGGGGAAAGGATGGGGGTTCTCCTGGGGAGAGAAACAAGCCAACTTTGGCTGCCCAGGGGGAAAAAAAAAGCTAAGCCAAGTTCTGGAATGGGAGACCACCACATGATCCAAGAACGGGAAGATGACAATCAGGCTTCTCGAAAGACCATCAGCAAAAAAAACTTGGCCACCCTTGACTCAGCACTGGTCCAATGTTTACATTTGAGTCCTTCAGAGGTACATTTGGGTTTTGAAAATATACCTGACGTCAGCTTGAACTTGCTTAGGAAAGACCACTCTGGAACTTATAAATAGAGATAATAAAAATTTAAGGGGAGAAAAGCTGGGGTCGCCCCTCCCGGCATGTTTTCTTACCAACTTAAGCATTTTCTCTCGGGGGGGAGAATCTATTCAGTTTATCCATGCCGCCTCTTGTTCCCTTCTGATTCTAGCAGACCCAACTCCAGGGAGGGGGCCCGGTGTGTCTCTGCATGATTTATCGTGGGGTTCCTTGGCATTCCTGGTCTGCTCTGGGGGCGGGTGCAAATGAGAATAAATGACTCTGCCTTCATGGCTGCCCTGGGCACCCGGCATGCTGGGTGTGAGTTGTGTTGAGAAAGAAAACACCAAGAATAATGGCAGAATCATCACTTTGTGATAACGGAGGGTGGAATTTGGCCTCCCGGGCGTAGGAGGAGGGTGATCCGCAGCTTCTTATTAGCTATGATGTGGAATGAACCCAAGTTTATCAATGTATATAATTTTTATTGGGCAAAAATTTTGTACAGGGTTAAAAACTGCAGAAACCTAGGGAGGAAATTAGAAAAAAAAAAAGATATGGAAAAGCGAAAAACAGTACGAGTCAAAGAGAGAGAAAGAAAGAGAGAAAAAAAATATTCAAAGGAGCGACTTCCGATCTTCTTTGCGGCCGTTACAAACCGGGATACGACCGTTTGCACCCTCCAAATTATAGAACGCGGCTCCCTTCTTCCCATAAACGACCCGTTTTAATCCATAAAAGAAATGCTCTATTTCCCACTTCATCAGCTCTGCTGTGAATTGATCAGCAGCCTGGTTGAGGTGGCCTGTCCTACACTGCAGGGGGGTAGTGGGGAGGTCCCGCACGGCCGGGCACGTAGGCCAGAAGACTTTGGGAACCGATGTCTGTCTGCAATGTGGTGCTGCCAAAAGCAAGCAGTGGATTGAAGATGTGGAGTCTGCAAAAATATCTTTTTTGTGGGGGGGGGGGAGCTTGCCACAGACTGGGGATCCCCAGCTGTTCCATCGTCACAGAAAATCGGAATTAGCCATCCGTGCTATGTGCTTCTGCAATCAGATAATCTATTTCTCCAGCCTGGGGGCCCACTTGCTGTTTGGGTTTCCACTCCCAGAATTCCTCGGCCGTCACTGAGCATTGTGGGAGCAACTCCCAGAATTCCTCAGCCGCCGCTGAGCATTCTGGGAGTAGATAACCCCTGATCAAAACGAGAAGGGCTGTTTCGATCAGCTTGCGCAGGCCAGAGATCTAATGCTAGGACACTCGTAAAAGGCTTCACCTTCAACACCTCAGCCAGGCTTAAATTTTTATTTTATTTTTTTTTAATTGCAAGCAGTAAAAGACAGATTAGAAGTGTGTACATTGCAAAGAATAGCCCCATCAAAAAATGATGTTTAGAAAGGGTGGATTTGGGCTGCCGAAAGAGCTAATCACCCCTTGAGCTGAAGGAACCAACAATCCCTGTTTAGGATACTTCAACACAGCTCTAGATGTTCATTTTGCAAAATAATAATAATAATAATAATTGCAAGGCCAAATTCATTTCTCAGCATCCAAAATTACATTAAACGCAAGGCTTGCCTTTCAGGCACTGTTAAGTGATACCGGTGTGTGTGTGCAACTGGCAATTTAAGCCTTAAGCCTTCCTCTGTTGCTTCTTAACCCCCCTCCAAATGCCAAGAGAAGCCCCAGATTCGAGCCAGGAGTTCTGGGGCCACTAGCAAAGACCCTTTCTTGAACCGTAGCAATATGGTCTTAGGGGAGCGTTCAGACAAACCCCAAAATCAGGGCAGCAACACTGACATGGCGACAAGAACCTTGAAAGTGGGTTTCCAACCGGTTCGACTCCCGGGGCGTGCCGGGTGAATTTCCCCAGCCCTCAGTCTGCCGGTCTGTAAAATGGGCCCAAGCATGTCACTTCCTGCAAGCCTTTGGGCCCGCCAAGGCATCCACGATCCGACTAACCCCCTAGTTTTTCAGCTCACCTGCCAAGAACTGCAACGGACCGACTCCTGCAGGAGATCCAGAAGCTTCGGCAAGCAGACCAGCACGGGGGATTACTACCGACGCCTGGGGACCGGCGGGGGCAGCGTCGGCGAACGGGGCAGGAGAACTCCCAAGATGGCCCACAGCGAGGAGGTGAGACCGTGGGCACCGGCCCTTGGCCCGGCATCAGAACCACGGACAGCGGGCCAGGAGATCCTCCCGCTGCGGGGCAGACCCACAGTGGATCCCAGATCTTAACTTGCGGGGTCCGGATCTGGCTCAGGAGCGAGTTTCCCTCTGGAAGTGCCCTATTTATGGCTGGCACGGAGGGCATTTTTGCCCGCTTCCCAAGCGAAAGGCTTCCAAGGCGCCCCCCGCTTCTTGAAAGGATCAGCCTACAGGGTCGGTCCTGCCGTGCCTGTCCCTATTTTTTTTTTTTTAATAATTTTGATTAGTGGATTTTGCACAGAGGATAAGAAATGCGTTCACAGGAAGAAAAAGAAGAGAAGTGCGAAAAAGAAAAAACAGAGAAAAGAGAGGCAGCAAATAAAACACATTTTTTCCATGCTTTTTTATTTGCTGCTGCTTTTTTTCCCCCTATCTTCTTTTCTCCCCATTCATTCTTTTAAGAGAGCTTCAGAGCTGCTCCCGCGAGCGAGGAGGAGGGTGCATTGATCCTGGCACGGGGACCAGCCAGGAGGTGCCCACCGGATCTATCTTTCCTGCATTGGAGAGCTCCAGAACGATGCCATGTAGCCACGAGCAAGCCATGATGGGGAACTTTGCCCTACCTAGACTTTCCCATATTCCTTACAGCTCTGGAAAAGGGGCAGGTCCCTTTTTTTAAAAACGATCGTGCCCACGTTCAGCTTCCCAACCCATCTCGCGGAGCCGATCTGCAAGAGGGGAGGCGTGGCGTTTCAGTGCCGGGCCATTAATCCCAATTAAAGAGCAAAGATCGCCCCGTCGGTGGAAGGGAAAACGGAACCGGAGGGGGGAGAAAAGGGAAGGGCAAAGATGAGAGCCAGGCCTGCAGCCCCGGGGGAGGGAGGCTCAAGGTGGGAATCGCAGCCTGAACGCGCCTGGTGCTGAGCAATCGACGCCAAAGACATTTACAGGGTGTGACGTTTCTGCAAAGACCGAGGATTTTGCCCTGGCGGAGGGGAGGAACTTGACCGTTCAGTTATTACAAAGCCAGAGATCGATTTTCTACTTCCATCTCCGCTCAAAGTGCTTGGATTAAATAAGGGGGGGGGGGGGGGTT